CCCTTGTTCCTGCTGTTGCTTTCCATGGCCGTGGGCACTCGCAGCTCCCTCCTCTGTGTGGCTGCTGGGTCCTGCCTCATTCCAGCCTTGGTGGGTGTGGGGGACAGGGAGGGGACCTGGACATCGTAGTCCCCATGCAGGTAGCCCTGCTGTGCAGCCGAGCCAGGGCCAGGCAGGGTGCTGAGGTACCAGCATGGGCGTCTGACTGTGTTCCCAGCATTAAATCCAAAGGGCTGAGCCTGTCTGAACCCTGGTGTCCAAAGCTCGCGCCCTGGGTTGAGCCTTACCCCGCTCCAGGCAAGCGCTGGGAAGGCTGTCTGGAACAGACAAGAGACACCAGTGATGAAAAGCTGCCGTTTTCCCAGGGGATTGTTCCCGGCTGGATCCCCTGCTGTGCTGCAGAGCTGGGCTGTTTCCCTCTGGAGCAGCTGGCTCCCATTGCCTTTCCCTGTGTGATTTTGGAGGCGCCGGGCCCACCCGTTTTCTCGGGTACACGGACATTGCAGCGAGCTGCCTCTCTCTGTCTCTAGTAGACTGAGCAGATTGAGCCGGGTGCCTTTGTGCCAGACATTTTCTCCAGCCCTTAAACCGCTGCTGCATCTCTTCCCCGAATCCCTCTTACTTCCCCGTGTGCAGGCTGCAGCCGGCGCGGGGGCTGCGGGCAGCATCCTGGCTTCGCTGTCCTGGGGGCTGTATCCGGACATTTTCACTCGTCCTACTTGGCACCTTACGCCCCGTCATCGCACATCCTCTTGGAGACACAGCTTCCCAGGGCGCAGCCCTTCGCTGTGCTCAGCCCAGCGCCCATGGTGCCTGGGCCCGGGCGGGGGTTAGTGGCTCCCAGCACAGACGGAGCTCAGGAAAGGGCTTCGGCACTGCTGAAACCTGCCCGTCTCCACTCACTTCCCTGCCAACCTTTGAGATTTAGTATTTACTGCCCATTTAGCGATGCAACTAATGACACAACTCCTTCCCTCTTATCTGCTGCCCTTCATAAGTGGACCTTGCCTTGTTTTACAAAGGAGGGAGGAGCGGCGTGACACAGATGGGGAAACTAAGGCAGGTGAGGAGGAAGTGAATTTGCCAAGGTCAGCCGGCCGCGGCGAGGACGGGAGCAGCCTTGGCCACGCTGTTGCCGCTCGGGAGCCCCAGGCACTGGAAGTGTGTTATGCTGACAAGCCTGGGACCTGCCGGCACCTCTCCTGCACTGTCATGGGCTGTGCTCTGGGATTGCCGGTGAGGGCTGGCGATGCCCCAGCTCCCGGTGTTCCTGCGGTGCCGCACCTGAGGGCTGCTGCGGCTCAAGCGTTCGTTGGGAGCGGGTGCTGCATGCCCTGCTCCTTTCACTTCCCTGGAGGAAGTCTGTCTTGACCGATTCTGCCTTTTCCACGTGATGAGCCAGTTTACCAGTCCCGCCCAGTAAAAGACCTGTTGCGCTACTGGGATTCCGGCGAGCTCAGACGCAGCTGTTGCGGGCGTCTATGGGATTACTGGCGGCGTTGCT